TCTAGACCAGCTCTGGGATCCATCCTTGGGAACAAGGGGCTCTTTCCCTGGGAATAAAGAGGGTGAGGCGCGAAGCTGACTAATCACCTCTGCTTACTCTCTAGGTTAAGAAAACCTAGAGCTCTACCTGCATTCCAAATACAGTACATCTTCCAAGCATGGTGCCTAACACGGCCACGCTATAACTCAGGCGGATAGTTGCTGGCTTCTCACTGCGGCGGCCCGAATTCGAGCCCGGGTTTGGTCATGTGGGATTTGTGATGGACAAAGTGGCACTGGGACAGATTTCCTCCGAGTACTTCGGTTTCCCTGCCAATCTTCATTCCATCAATTGCTCCACAATCACCATCATCTATCATCTGGGGCTGGTACAGTAGGACAATATTGACCACAGTCACAAGTGGGCTCAGTCTCACCCCACTGAGAATAATAAAAGAATGGTGACTAACCGACTGAGCTAAAGAACAAGTTTACCCTTCATTTTACCCTTAGAGGGAAAGACCAAGTTCCACATCCGTGTAAAACAATGGGAAAACTGCAAGGTTTGAAGTTCTTAAGGCAGTGACTGTGTAGGTTACTGTCTTCTGGGTTATGATGCCTTATTGCGTGGTAGGTTATCTGCAAATGTTTCGGAGCAACCTGCTGTTTCGGGGTAGAAGAGTCAGGTTATCAGTGCCCAGAAAGAGCTCTCATCTACCCTGAAGACTGAGGCAGCTGTTTCTTCGAGAACCGTGTTAGCCTTGTGTCTACCAGACTGTACAACGTCAGATCACTGAAGACTTTTCAATAAATTAATTGTAGCTTTTTATGCGGATGTAAATATTTACGTTTTTAGATACGAAGTCAACTTTGTGGCAAGATCCTATGTATACCAGATGTTTATATGAAACTGGCTTGCGACTGCTTATGGTCGGGTTGTCATTCTCCTATGCACTTTGTCCACGTGAGTGTCCTCGTTTGTGTAAGTCAGTAATATTAGCTAATGGTGGATGAATTTCTTCGTGTCTGACGCAGAAATCAGGGTAATGGGAGAGCAGGAATATGCCACATAGGCTGGTGCTGCGGTAACGCTCTGGATTTGTGTTCGAGACGTGCTTGGTTCGAATCTCGGCCGGTAAGCCCCTGTGCCGACTTAGGCCAGCCTCTCTAGGTAAATGCAGTAATAAAGCAGCATTTGGCCACTGCCGCTTCCTTCCAAGTCCATTCCTATTCATCATTCATCACCCTAACACTCAGTACTATATAGTCTAGCTGTGAAATCCTTGGGGCACGCGATAGCGTAGTTTGTTGAGACAATATGTTATAAGCCGGAAGGTCGCGGGTGCGATTCCCGATGAGGTCATTAAATTTTTCATCGACCTAATCCTTCCAGTCTCACTATGGCACTGGGGTCGACTCAGCCTCTAACAGAAATGAGTATTAAGACTCTTCCAAGGGGTAAAGAGCAGACGGCGAGTAAGGCTGACAACCTCACTGCCATGTATGAGACGATTGTCTAGAAAATTTGGAAGGCTCGACGTCTCACAACCCTATGGGCCTCCACAGCCTGTTACAGAGATAGGTGCACCTTTCTTATTTTTTTTACTAACGACATTAGATAGACTACAAAACAAGCAGAACCTTAACCCCTTTGTGCCCATGAAGCACTCCACAGGAACACTGTTTACTGCACCCTTCACGAGTGCAGGACTGTACATATAGCTCCTAAGTTTTAAACAAAGTTCTGAAAATGTTACACATAAGTTGGGAGTTTGGCCGCGCCATATCTCAAGCGGTTAGTCGCTGGTTTCCCATCGCGGCGGCCCGGGTTCGATCCCGGGTCTGTTCAAGTGGGATTTGTGATGGACAAAATGGCGCTGGGGCAGGTTTTCTCCGAGTACTTTGGTTTCCCCTGCCAATCTTCATTCCACCAATTGCTCCACAATCACCCTCACCTATCATCTGGCGCTGGTACAATAGGCCAGAAGTGGCCGCAGTACAAGGGACTTAGTCCCACCCCACTAACAATAAAAAAAAGTAATTTTATTCGACCAACATGAATCAAGATTAAATTCACTCTGTAGGATTCAGTGTAAAATTCCAATATCTAATATTTTGTTTAATTTATTTCTTTTTCCCATGGGGTGAGACTGAGTCCACTTGATACTGCGGTCACTGTGTGGCTTACTGTACCAGCCCAAGATGATATATGATGATGAGTGTGGAACAGTTGGTGGAATACAAATTGGCAGGGGTAACCGAAGTACTCGGAGAAAACCTGTCCCAGTGCCACTCTGTCCACCACAAATCCCACATGACCTGATCCGTGCTCGAACCTGGACCGCCGTGGTGGGATACCGGCGACTGACCGTCTGAGCTCTGGCACAGCTCCAGTATCAAATAAGTTGTTGATATTCCCTCGGTGGATTCTGGGATGAAACGTGCCGAAAAACTGACTACCACAGTAACATTTACAATAGGCTCTCTTACTCGGTGGAAAGAACGCACGAAACGAGCAATCAGCATAGCGTTATGAATACGGGTAGCAGCCCGAACCTGATGCATGTGTTATCTTGTGTAACCTAAGCTACGCCTTTACATTTCTGTTAACCGCCTCACACATTTCGTATGATTCGAGGTACGCACAGCGGTGGTTATGAAGACTACTATCTTCTGTGATATGAAGCCGTTTAGTCCACTGAAAGTTAACAGACGTTTCGGAGGAAATTCTTCGACCTTGAAGATGGAGATGTTATGTTCTTCGGAAACGTCGGTTCACTTTCAACGGACTACATGACGTTATAGCCAAGTCAGTTCACAGTTGAACTTCTCTTCGTCCAGAACAGAATTTTATCTCGATAGACTATTTTTTTTCCTTGGCACTACAGCCCCAGTGGGCCTAGGCCTACCTCCATGAACTTCTCCGTTCACTTCGGTTTTTCTAGATCTTACACATTCGGTAGGACTCCATGAGCGGGTGATCAGCTCGTCGCAAGGCCTCTACCTTTACATAAACACAGAAGAACGCACACACACAAACTAAAGATCCATGCCCTGAGTGGGATTCGAACCCACGATCCCGGTTTCCAAGTGAGCGAAGACAGTATATGCCTTAGACCGCTCGGCTACCGTGACCGGCCTCGATAGACTATACTCAAACTAAATAAACGCATCTCACTACAGACTAAGTGAGACTAATATCATTAATGAGTTATCATCCTCTGAGCTGAGGGTGCACAATGAACATTTTATATAGTGAGAGGGAGAGGAAAGAATGCAGGGACTTGGTTTATGTTGAACAGGGTTACTTCTGGAGAGATAGAGAGAGAAACTAAATAAAAGTAGATGAAGTGAGAGGGAGTGAGGGGGGAGAGAAGGGATGAAAAGGGATTTGGGTGGATAGAGAAACGAAAAGAAATTCCCATTACAAAGTCAGCAGAGTTTAAACCCTGTCAGTATTTGTTAGGGTGAGGGTGTGAATTGAAGAAAGGTAAAGTTCCCGGTGAAGTTGGCAGTGTTCTCGCCGAAGGAAAGAGAGTTTCCTTTCTGTCAAATTTCGTGCCCTTCTGACTGTATCTAATGGAACCGGACTTTTCTATACTCAGCCTCGACTTAGTTACTTGAATTTAAATTGTAAATTTACTTGATTGTCCTAAAGAAAATCTAAACCGCAGCCTGTGACTTTCATAACGTCTCTAACATTTGTTTATTTACTTTTGAATCGATACGTAATTTAACGTAAAATTATGTTATGCTTCTTGTTTCGCGCATGAAGTATAAGCGTATTATGTTATATTATGTTATGGTATGTTATGTACCAATTCTTGTAGGACACTCTGTTTTAATAAGCATCAAGATCCATCAAATGCATAAATTCTGTATTTAAAAACCTTTACATGTATAATAAACACATGTTTAAAAAATGATTTCTGCCGTTAGAAATCAAGATTATAGGTTAGAAATAAAGGAAAGAACCCGTAGAAGCATGCCCATGAAACTTCTGTCACTTTAATCAACAGAGACACACGTCTGTATATGTTGGTCCTGCTTCCTCTGCTACAAAGACCACTTTGTTGATTTGTTGGTTGAATATTATGGTCGAACTGCGGATTCTGTTCCCTCTTAGATGGGTTCAAATTTCGAAGGAATAAATTTCTGTGTGGAAACCAGAACACTACGACAAGTAGAAGAGATGGAGAATTTGTCAAATACTTTTTTCTTTTATAGTTTGGACTGAGATTTATGGAGGGAAGGAAGGCGCTGGAACGAAAGAGTGGATTGCCGTGCTCACGGCAAATATAAACTTAGCGCAGATATATCATTGTTCGTTTCTGTTCCTTGCGGTTTCATTCCGGAAAATTGAAACCCACGATATTTGATTCCTACTTCGTGCCTGGTAAACAGTGTTAAAATATTCGCCGCAGATGAAATCTCAAGAGAGTTAAGGGAAGAGAGGCCTAGGATTAGATAGGAAAATGCTAAATTTAATCATATTTTAACATACCCATTGCTAGGCAACAGCCCGGCTTAAGTGCGTGACAAACAGTGGCGGGATCCGAAGCTGACAGTTATTGTAGGAGTAGAGAACAGCAGTTAGAAGAAAACTGGGTTGAACCCTCGGAATTGGCAGCTGCAGGAAATGGCAAGACTTCATAGTGTTTTGAAATGATAGTTTCTATGGTAAATCCGTTGCCGGGAAACTGATAGCGTGCCCTCATGATCTGTGAAGTGGGTAGATTAGCGATGGCTCTGTAATTGATTTTGATTAAGAGAGATTGTAAACGAAGATGTTAATAAAATCGTTCAATCCAGAACCCGTTATTATTAGTCACGAGACCCCACATATGTGACAACACGTTATAATTCTGTGTGTAGGAGTAGGTTTCTTTCAAGGATTTGAAGTTAGGGTTCACTGGCAGGCTTTTGCGAACGTGGCACCGAACTGTAAGAATTCTCCAGTCCACGAGTTTTTCTTGACCAGTTTATGGACTAACAGGTTTCCATGTTTTCTCTGGTTGCAGTTCCCTGGGTGTCAGCAAGCCTGCCGCTTCCACAGGGAGACCGCTGGGAAGCAGATGCAGCAGACGCAACCCGTGATACACACCCGTGGCGACGAGGTCATAAAACTAAACGGAGCCGTTGTGCGCTGGCCTCGACCCCCGACCACCAGTCCCAGCAGCCCATTGGTATATGTGGTGATGAGACGCCAGGCGGGCACATCGTCCGGCTGGCGCCAGATTTCGCAGGTTGGTGCACTAAGTGGTTGTACTGTTTGCGTGTATATGTACTCACGGAGCTGAGCCTTTCATGAGAAACCGCCAATTGTGTAGCTACTCAAGAACTTCCCAGTATTTTATGGAACCCACAAGTACATTATCGTGTTCACAAGAGCCCTCCACTGGTCCCTATCCTGAGTCAGATCAATCCAGTTCAAGCCATCTTATCTTATCTCTCCTAGATTCATTTTAATATTATTCTCCCACCCACATATTGGACATCCTAGTGGTTTCTTGACTTCCGGCTTTCCCACCAATATCCTATATGCATTCCTCTTCTACCAATTCGTGGTGCATGTCCTGCCCACCTCATCATTGACTTGATCATTCTAATTTTACTTGGGGAAGAGTACAAGTTATGAAACTCCTCATTATGCAGTTTTCTCCAACCTCCTGTCACTTCATCCCTCTTCGGTCCAAATATTTTCCTCAACGCCCTGTTCTCAAACACCCTCAGTCTGTGTTCCTCCCTTAATGTCAGAGACCAAGTTTCGCACCCATACAGAACTACAGGCAAAATTATAGTTTTCTATATTCTAATTTATATATATATGTAATCATATTAATTACTACAATACTGTAAACGTAGTTATATGGATATAACTGGCTCAGGATGATAATCCCTGGCAGGCTTTCTTAGTAGAAGTGTTCAGCATTTCTTGCTACTGGTAATTGTTGTGTTATTCACGACGTGTGTGGTGTGTTAGTGTGGACTCGTTAAAACTGTCCGGCGTGTTGACTGTCCCGCTCTGCTACAGACCGTGGATCTGACGGCTCGGCTGCCAGCTGCAGAGAGCAGCAACCTGGGATCTGCAACCATCAGGGTCCTCGTAGTTGATCCAGAAGGTCTCGTCACCATCTACAGCCCAATGTCGCCCTCTGAATCAGTTTCTTCAGCGGTTGCAATAGGAAGTGACGTCAGGAGCAAGGTTATTAACAAGGTCATGGCAGGACATCGCAAGAAGATCAACACAGAGGTCACCCCGACTACAACCAAGTCTCCCACAGCGGTAAGTAGACAATACGAGACACCACTACTTGCACCATATAACCCATCCATGCATATAAGAAGAGCTTCCATTTAATTTGAATCAATATTTTCCTTCTTAAGTTAGCTTGCTTACAGGGCCGCGCCATAGCTCAAGCGGTTAGTCTCTGGCTTCCCACCGCGGTGGCCCAGGTTCTATCCCGGGTCTGGTCAAGTGGGATTTCTGGTGGACAAGGTGGCGCTGGGGCAGGTTTTCTCCGAGTATTTCGGTTTCCCCTGCCAATCTTCATTCCACCAGTTGCTCCACAATCACCCTCACCTATCATCTGGGGCTGGTACAATAGGCCAGAAATGGCCGTAGTGCAAGGGACTTAGTCCCACCCCACTAGCAATAAAAAAAATAGCTTGCTTACGGGATGTTGGTAGATCATTTGACTCCCCCTAACAGCATTTGAACCAAAGGATGGACTTTGGTGAATTCTTATCTCAGTTTTGCACTTTTATTCCGCACAATGAAGCTTGCCAACTTGGCATCCAGACTATTACGTGGTGATACATCGTAGAAATATGTGTAACATTGTGAAGGCCAGGAAAAGGAAAAGCAAAATGGCGGCAGCGCGATATTTGTGAATTATCTATCTTTCCTTTTTGAATTTTTGGAACTAAGCATGTGAAGCCATGTATCGAGATTCATCGTTATCATAAAAAGGCAGATCTGTCCCTGTAACAGGCCGTGAAAGCCCATAGGGTTGTGAGAAGTGAAAGCTCCCACATTTTCTCTAGACAGTCGGCTCACAGATCGCACACCGGCCGACCTTTACCTCCCATGAAGATTTCTGGCACACATTTCTGTTGGAAGCTGAGTGAACCCCAAGGCCATAGTGCGGCTGAAAAGATTATGTGAAATAAAATTCCAATAACCTCATCGACAATCGAACAGCGTCCTTCCGGCTTGTAGCATAGCTCAACCAACTACGCTACCGCGTGCCGTCATCGTTATCGTATCTACACACACATATATGTGTGTGTGTGTGTGAAACGGTCTTATATTCAAAATTACAGAAATTGTATTGTTTCGAAATTTTAAGCTTTTATAAAACAATTTAACATAGTGACGATCTGCCCTAGCAAAAAAAAAAGTAAAGTTATCCTATGCTTAATTTATTAAGCACCACGCTGTCCTAGTAGATATACAAAAGAAGCTGGAAAATATGTACATAATTAGCAATTCATTCTAGTGGGTTTATCCATTTTCTTAATTATGCAAATTGTAATATGTAACACTTGTAGATGCACAGTCGATTATATTTTAATTAAATATATGTTTTATGCATACATACCCATAAATTGATGTGCGTATAAGCCTCGTTTAATTAGTATAGAAAATAAAAGACTTCACTGACTTCCAAAAGAAAATTTATGGAAAAGTGTGTATTGGACATTAAAATGTGCACTCCATGTTTTTTTTACAAATTCTTTCTAATGTTTTTTCACTATGCTAAAATATTTAGTGATGTGGGCTCGAATTTAGCATAAGAGTGTGTATAGGCCTTAATGCATATTATCCGGTTTTTTTGCCAGATTTTTACCGAAACTTAAAATATATCGACAAAATTTAATAACAATCCCCAGTGTCATTTTTCGAGGAAAGAAATTCAACGCTTCTTATCCTACACAGTGAAGCATTTGCAGGAAGGGAGATCTCTTGTTTAGCTCCCACAGCTGAGATTTGGTGCTTATATCTTTAAAGTGTACCCAGGTAGTTTATGGCCTAGGATCGTTAGAATACCCATCTGAATGCGTACATACACTAGTATGTGGCCATGGTAACTGGATGAGGTTAATACAGTGCAGAAGATGGGCAGTGATACCGAACAAGTAGTTCAACACATTTACGTATAGCGCTTGCCTTTCAACTGCTGCCCAATACGTACGCAACAGAGATTTGATATTGTGTTTTAAGTTACAAGATTTCTGTCCAGATGTCGTTTCTGAGAGTGACGGCCATTTGAAATGTATGAACGATGATGAATGAATGATAATAATAATAATAATAATAATAATAATAATAAATGCCTCTCAGTGAATGGTCGTTACGATAAAATGACAATTGGTTGGTGTGTTGTAGTCATTATGATGTGTCGTCCCACAGAATTTCTGCCGAAACATTTGGTCACTGTTACTGTAGCGCAGTAAATTGATTCTTATGCAGAACTTAAACTCATGAAAAATTATGTTTTTTTTTTTATGTTTCAGCACAAAATTGGTGGTACGTGGGAACTCCGAGAGGTGTCTCTGATTCACCAGAAAGTACTGGTCATTGCAGAGGTCGCCTGGGAACCGCGAGTAACCCGAGGAGTTTATCTCGTCACTTGGGAGGTGGACGGAGGAGGTCTTAAAGGAAACCTCTTTACCGATTCCACGTGTGTTACACTGTCTTTGTGGCCTGACACCATATACCATATTCAGGTAAGTGAAAGAACAAGAACTGCGTTGTAGAGTTGCTGGACAATTAACTGTGCCAGCTGTTGTACTATGCAGCGCGCTTATAACGGAATCCAACGGTGTTCGAATATTTTCTCATTTTGAGACAAGAGTTCCATTCAACTCATAGTTACTTAGGAAAAAGCAGTTATGTAATATATGTATAGGCCTTGTTTCTGTAATTCGAATAATGAATCCAACCAAGTGAAATAACTATCTCTGATACTGAAATGACTGAATGATTATAGAGAACGGGCAAGATAAGCTTATATAATGTCACTAACAGTTATTTGAATGCGATGTTCATTCGGTAACGCGCCGTCTGACTCCTGCGACATTTCAAAATGAACCCTTATGACTGACAGTGTTTCTGGGAACTGTCTTGCAAATTATTAGTACCACATTACTCTGGGTGCCTCTGGTATCCCAAAATGAAGCCCCTTAGTTCCGGGAACATGGTAAAACCATACTGACCAAATATCTGGTGGATAGGAAGCATGTTCCAACACCGATTTTGGAGAGTTCTAGCTTCTGGAATTTAATGCAGTTTAAGCCATTTGAATGTCAACCGACGTTTCATATGAACCTATCGCCTCCATCTTAAAGGTCGAAAAATAAGCCGAAACGTCGGTTGACTTTCAGTGGACTACTCTGCGTTATATTCCAGAAGATAGAAGTTTCCATTGCCGGTCACGGTAGCCGAGCGGTCTAAGGCATGTACTGTCTTCGTTCGCTTGGAAACCGGGATCGTGGGTTCGAACCCCACTCAGGGCATGGATGTTTAATTTGTGTGTGTGCATTTTTCTGTGTTTGTGTACAGATAGAGGCCTTGCGACTAGCTGATCATCCGCCCAAGGAGTCCTACCGAATGTGTAAGATCTAGAAAAACCGAAGTGAACGGAGAAGTTCATGGAGGTAGGCCTAGGCCCACTGGGGCTGTAGTGCCAATGAAAAAAAAAAAATTTTCCATTACCACCGGTGTGTGAACCTCAAATCCCAAATAATGCCTTTGTTTTATTGGGGGAGGGGGTCGAAATATCTTTGGCTTAAGCGCCCAGTCATAATGTAAATTGTTATGGTATAAAATTCACTTTTTGGACACAATATTTGACAATATTTTACTAACGCGTCCCCATTAATACTTTAAAATATTTGGTTGGTTCGTTCGATGTTTTGGAGGAGCAAATTAGGAATGAAGATTTCAATTAATATCAATAAAGCAAATCAACATGATTTTAAATATTTATTGGAGATCTACGGTTTTATCAACCTCGGATATTCTAAAATTCTCGGTTGAAGACTCGTTTCTGGCCTGTACTTTATGTCCCAGGTCTCGTGACAAGCCTTGATCTTGTTCAAAATATCAGGTTCTTTCAACAGCCATGTTGGGAGATCTCAACAGAAGTATTTTCTCTTAATTTTCTGGCCAGGAAGACAGCATGTCAATACTGAAGCCACGAAGTGCAGTTATATTACGTTGAGTAACACACCCAAACTCATTAGTGCTGACAGCTGCTGCACGGAAAGAGCAGTGCACTTGTTCTCATGTCTTGTACACTTACTGAGCAGTACACATTTTCAGTTTTCGTTCTTACTTCTTGTCCCTCTCCAGCAGTCCGGTCAAGCAATCCATGCATTTTTATTTTCCAATGGCCGAGCGTAATTCATTCGAATCTGTGGAGAACATCTTCCGCCTGGGGAAAATTCCTTGAATCACAACACTGATTGGCAAAAACACACATTCGTAGAGAACCGTATCAGAATGGATTCATATATTTTCTTATTCAGCTCTAAATATTTCCATTTATGAAAGGTAATTTTACGTTGGTTTTCGCCGTCGCGTAATTCTCGTAATCCTTTGAACCCGGATTCCGTTTCTAAGAGGGTTTACTGCATTTCATTGTGAGATCCAATTCCCTTTCATTAATACATTACTTACATGTCGTCAGATTCAATACTACAATTTTAACATTTCAGACCAATATATTTTGTCTAATCATTGCCCATCATCAAGGTTTCAGCTATGTAAAATATGTTACAAATTTATATAACTGGTTACATGGGTTCTAGTAATCCTTTCTACATACATGCTCTAGTTACGTTGCTGTTGTTATACCATAAATATATTATAAACCGTTAAAACTTCTCTCCTTCTTTAAAAGAATTAAATTATTTTATAAAGGCCTGTTGAGTACAGGGTTCTTTAAGCTTACTTAAGTCCATCACATAATACTATTTTATACATAACTCGTTATTTATTGGCCATAACCCTATCAACGGAATTGTTGTGTTTAGTACATAGATCGGTGGGAAAGCCAGAAGGAAAGAGACCGCAGGGACGACAGGTGAGTGGACAATATTAGAATGGATCTAGAGAGATAGGATATGATGGGACGGATTGGATAGATCTGGCTCAGGATAAGGACCAGTGGAAGGCTCTTGTGAACACGGTAATGAACCTTCAAGTTCCATAAAATGCTGGGAAATTCTTTAGTAGCTGCAGAATTGGCGGCTCCTCCAGAAGGGCTCAGCTCCATGAGTAAGTAAGTAAGTACGAGTAGTACATAGATCAGCTCTTAGTTGTTTAAATGATGGCTATGGCTGATCGAGTCCGTTTTGACTCTAAGCTCAAAAACTAAATACGCGTTATATTTGATATAAGGACTGTAATAACTAGATTTTCGAAACCTGGAATATCTGAAAGACGAAATTAATTATTTTGTCACAAGCAGCAAGAATAAGACTGCAGAGACTACTATATACATAGGTGTATGGGAAAATTCCCGGGCTAGGTAAAAAAAAATATAATACTGGGTTAACTTACTCAATTTTGGCTGCAATCTCCTTCAAAATAGTCTCCTTTGGAACGTATACAGCAATCCCTTTTTTTTATCTTCTCTCTTTCCACGTTTCAAAAGCACTGTGGAAGTAATTTTCCTTCATGCCGTCGAGTGCCGCCTGTGATTCCCTTTGGATGTGAGACACTGTTTCAAAACGTCGTCCCTTCAGTTTCATTTTCAGTTTGGGAAAGAAAGCGAAATCACAGGGGCTAAGTCGGCAAGTAAGGAGGATGAAGAATGATAATCATGCTGTTGTTAGTCACAAACTCTGTGGTTTTCCGGGACATATGGGCAGGCGCGTTGACATGATTAAGGAGCAGTGTGGCGCATGTACAAATTTTCTGTTAGGATCTCCTGGTAAACTCCATAAATGATCCCAAAGGTGTCTGCGAGCTCATGGATTGTTCGGCGACTGTCTATGTGCATGAGTTCCCGAATTTTTTCAACGCTTTCTGTCGTTTTGCTGGTGCTTGGTCGCCTTGAAATTTCGTCATCCCCAACTGACACTCTGCCGGCCTTGAAACGTGAATTCCATTCAGAAACAGCTGTCCGGCCTAAAGAATGTTTTCCAAAGGCCTCACAAAGCATTCGAAGGGTTTCGGTAGTGGATTTACGGAGCTTCACGCAAAACTTGATACAGACACGTTCCTCGATTTTGCCATCCATCGCAGACAAAACGAAACACGAAGTCGAAAAAGCCCTCGTGTAAAATAATGCTCGTTTACAGCGCGGTGTCACGTGGCAGACTGATGCAATGGGTTTGCGAAAATGTGACCTTGGCCTCCCCTCTAATCTTTCGCCGAGGAAGTAACAACAATAACAGTCCGGGAACTTGGACCCAACGGGATAAAGGATGAGAACGGTGATCTGCTTTGAAGGTTCGCACAACATTTTGAATACATGCAAGAATTATTTCCCTTGGCTACTGAATGGACGTGGGCATAGTGAACCTGTGGAACCTGCTTGCAGCTGAGCCGTTAGTAAGAGAGCCTAACCTTTTGAGATTGATATCACTATTGCAAATTCGAAGAGATGTAAATCGTCAAGAGAAACTGATTCCAGGAAGCGTTGAAACACTAATTCTGAGATCCATAAACTCATTGATTGTGTTAGGAATAAGGGAGAATTGTCTCAGCAGTGAAAGGAGCCTCTAATTGTACCTACTTAGGAGGTGAATGATAAATTTGGAAGTAATAATTTTCGAGACATGCCACTGTTAGCAACTCCATATAAAATTCTAATGTCCCTTTCTTTTTTTTAAAGAAAGTTCTTTCGAGGTATTACCAAGCTGTGCACTGGATCTTTTTGCAGAACCTATTTAAGATTATAATTTCAGAGCAGAAACACATTTAAAATTATTGGTGATGTCTGCAGGAAATTGGGACATTTCTCTGAGCCTTTTATATCACAAGGTTGTTGTATATAGCATACCAGTGCTCTAAATCTGATCAGCGCCACTGTGATAATACATTATTTTTTTATCCAGTTGTTCATGCAATGGACGTTTTAAAACGAAGACCAAAATCAATTTTGAACACTAAATAGTAGTATTTTATTAATTACTGGGGCGGTCCACACTCATCTTTTCCGTAAATGACACGCGCACAGCTGGCAGTAGACCTATTGAATGGCGTAACACAGTTCCCTTTAAATATGTACTGCATTTCACACACGCATGTCTGCTAGCCAAAACACCCGCGCATTGCCTGGGATCTTCTTTTAATAATCTGAATTCACATCATGGAATTGCCTATTTATTACGTCGCACAATTCAATAAACAGTAATATGATAACCAATGTAACCTCCTAACTGACAGGCGAAAATTAGGATACTGCAAGATAAGCAAAAGGAAAGTTGTCCCTATGCTTAATTAATTATGCACCAAGTCATGAAGTCATATGGGAGAGTGGAGGTATAGCTCCCTCACTCTTGATCTCTGCACTAGATGGAAGTTAGTGGTCAGCATCTTCTTACTTGTGAATACCTAAATCCAGGTTCCATAAAAGAAAACGCGTTTATTCTCAGAACTTTTCTGTTATTTACGGTTGTAACGACGCCTGGTACAAAGTCTTGTAAATACCAAGTCGATCGTTGTATGCATTGTACCACATATGCATGTGGTTTATTTTTCTGTATTGATGTTA